TTCTGGCTATAATATTTAGCTGCTGATTCCTGTTATGCCTTTCTCTGCTATAATAAATAGATCTTCAGTACCTAATACTTAAACTCCACAGAGTATTTACACAGTGTAATACAGCCATTCTCATGGTCTTTTCCACAAGATAAACAGATCGAACTGTTTATGTCTCTCACCAGCCCTTGAATCATTTTGTGTCTCTTTTCTGCAACTCTCCGATTTTGCAATGCGTAGTAATCCAATCCTGATTCCACTAACAGTATATGCAAAAATACAGTCACCTCCCTGTTCCTATTTGCTACGCCCTTGTTTATGTATCTGCAGATCAAATTAGCCATTTATGTTTCAGGATCAGACTGGGACCTGATGTTCAGTGGGTTGTGCCTGGATTTCTTTTCAGAGCTACAGCTTCCAGAATACAAATCTAAAAGTCTGGCTTCTAGTCCTTACTTGTAGATACGTGACTTTGCATGTAGCTACATCAAAATGTACTGTAAGCCGAGTTTTCCAGATCTCTGTATCTATCCTGCCCTTGTCATTATTTGTCTCTCCACCAATGCTTTACTTCTAGATCATTTGTAAGTAGGTTGAAGAATATCAATACTAGCACTGGTCCCAGCTGAAGCCCCTTCTGACCCCTTCCAGAAATACATCGATTTGGCAATTTCTGAATCTCAACTACTAATGAAGATTAAGTTTAGGGGGAAAATTCTGCAATGCTGGGATTTATTAAAGGTTAGTATGCCCCAAGTCTCCTGAGATAATGATTTCAGAAGTAACTTATTTGACTGCCATTTTAATTCTTTTGACTCACAGACAAGGTTGTTTAACTCTTCCCTCTCTTAGCAAACAGTCTGAAAGCTGTCTGAAAGAGTATTTTACTGTCTTTGTTTAATGTGAGTCCATATTCTTTCCAAAAACAAACCAGAAAAAAATATTGAGCACTGCTGCCCTTGCGCATTCTTACCAGCCTTTTTACCATCACCATTTAGTGACAGTTTCCAATAGCATTACTATGCTTTCTTTTCTTCTCAATATAGTTGAAATAAATCTGCCTTACCGTTGTCATGGACTACTCCAGGTTATTCTGGCTCCCTTTGTCATTTTCTACTCATTATAAATTCCAATTTATATAAGTCATTAATTGTTCCAAACTTTCTGCATTTCCTTTTATGTGTCTTTTTAAATTCTAATTTCTGCTCCTATTCCACAAGTGAACTGTGGTAGGCTTTCAGCCAAAAGCAGCTATTTATTGACTGGGAGCCATGACTTTTGAAGAAAGTCTTCTCATATAAAACCTAATTCTACTCATATCTTTTCCTATCTAGACATACCTCCCCACCCACGTCAGTTTGTCAGTTTTTAACAGTGTCCTGTCGGTGTCCCTTCTCTCCATATCAAAGTGATCTGAGTCAGTAATCTGTAACAAACCCCCAGAGTCAAGTTAGTGCTTTTCTGAACTGTAGTTTGAAAGCGCCAAAGAACTGCATTCTCCACCCCTGTCTCACATCCTCCCAAGCCTTCCGCTCTACACTAGTACCTTAGGCTTTCTCTCACCCCCTTTCTTTACCCTTGCAGAGTGGAGCACAGTCTGATCTGATACCACGGTCACAGTAAAATCAACCTTCACCCTCTATTTTTACTTTCCCCATCATGTCAATGCCTGACAAGTGACTATTATTTCATATCTCTACAACATTAGATCATCAAGTGAAAATGCTGTAGGCATGCTAGGAATTATTGCTATTTGCTTTGCCATTCCATTATCTATAAGCATATGTAAAACTGCCACAAACCCTAGTTCCTGAAATAGTAAGTTTAGGGTTCCAAACTGCATGCAGCAGAAAGGACCACACTGGCAGTGTGCCAGCAGCTGAAAGGCCACATCTAATTGTGCATAAAGTTGAGCAGATTGTCTGCTTAGACCAGAGCAAACAAGCTTATCTTTAATGCAGACATATGGCCAGCAAAACCTACAGATCCCAGCATGCAACGTTCTGGCCAGCTGGCCACTTGGATCAGAATGAAGCTTTACATGATCTAATACTGCAGTGTCAGAAGATCAGCATTGCAACCTCTCCATGTTCATGCTTTTGAGGCAAGACACTTTTCTCTACAATTAATTTTTAAAAGTGTATTTTTTTTATAAAAACTCAGTCACACAGTCACTTGTCTGTGGAAGCTGAGACATCAAGAATAAACAGACAGACCCACAGAATGATTAAAAGAGGAGCATCAATATGTTCTGAACTCTTAAAAATGCGCAGATAACCTCATAGATAGACACACAGACAAAATTTGGAACCTGCAAGCACCACAGATATCACTGGCAAAGATAAGGATGGCAGACAGTTTTGTTACAAAACTCCAGGTTTTCCAATTTTGCACTAAACTCTGCTTTTACCATTGTTACCTTTATTCAATCCACTTTTAACTTCCTTTCTTCCCACCTCTCAGCTGTCATATAAAATGTTCTTTCTGCCTCCAACTTTCCATTCTGTAAGACACCTCTGCTCTCCTATAATGACACACCATACATTTTATGACAGTTACCCCCTTGACAGCCATCACAGATGCTAAGTCTCCAATTAATAGAGAAAACTATTCAACAGAGTTGTTACTTTTAGACAGGTTAAAATCAGCCCTTAATCTCTCAGTCCTGTTCTTTAGGTCTTTTAGGATGCTAGGGGAATTCTAGCTATTAGAAGCTGGGAGCATCACTCCTATATTGCGTATCCGCAGTCCCCTTCTTGTGTATTTGTTGAGGACAGAGACAATTCTGGCTTCAATCACAATTCTAGATGCTATTTGACAATTCCTACTTCTGCTCTGACAGTAACCGCTCAAGAGAGGATCTAATCAGGAAAGGCAAGAAAAACTTCAGGTCAAAATGAGATTTTCTAGAGCTATGAACAACACATCATGAAATAGAAAAAGCACTGTCTGCTTTTTCTGCTCTGTCAGAACCAACATGCACTGTCACAGATGAAGGAAAGTAATCCAAGAACCAGAATCTGAGTGCCTCACAACCAGGAGTGAGTGACTTTGATAGAGCCATGCTGATAAAATCAGCAGAAAGCCTGTGTCTGCCCACTGTTCTTTCCCCCACACACACACATTTTCACAAGCAACCAGTACTTTTAGGCAACCTGAATGCTTGTTAAAGGAGGGTGAGTTGATCTTTCTTTAGTGTCAGAGCTCCTATCTGCATGTGACAGAGTGCAATTAGAGAGGCTACATGCCTTGCTGTAACAACTTCCTGTCTTATTTCCTTCACCTGACAAGCTCATTCCATCAATTCCCAGGTTCAGTCCAAAAAAGAGCAGGACAGAACAACCAGAGCTGCACTGGCACCATGATGAATCTTTTCCATTAAGAAACACTCAGCTGCACTTGAGCTCAGGTAGTCTCTGAGAGGTAACTTTTTTGGGGGAGAGTGAGAGATTGGTGCTAACAGCAACACCCTCCTGGGAAGGGGGCGAAGGTTCATGCTTACACAGACCTCGCGTTGCCACAGGAAGACAAATGCAACACCGGCACAGTTGAGCCCCACTTTCTATCTGCCACTGGGTAAAATAAAGCTACAAGGCAAATTTGATTCGAAGACTTCAACAAAACTGCCATTTTCGCATCTAACACACGGCATGTCTCCCTATGACAAGAGAGGGAGAAAATAAAGGAGGGAGCAGGGAGGAGGCAAACAAGAGCAACACCTGAACTACTGTACAAAACAGCAGCTAAAATTTTCTTTGGAGATATCTAGGAACTAATCCCCCCCTTGCAATACTCTTTTGAGTCAAAAAGGTCACCTCAATGAGCCAGCGTATGTGAAAATGTGCAGTCTCTCCAGACTACACCTCTGGAAAATGATTGCATCAAGGACACGCCCAGTAAGTTGAACAGTGGTTTAGATTTTAGCAATTTATGCTCACAGTCAAAAATGTTCAGAATTCAGGCAGAAGCTCACTAGGTTTATTCTCAATTCTTTTTTGCCAAAGGGAAGATTACAAGCTAGGAGGGGAAGTGGGGAAGAGAGAGAGAGGAGAGGGAGTGCCTGAAAACCTATTTACAGTACTGGCAATTCACTGTCCCTCCACTCAGTTCCATCTGGCACAGGTCATCTGCTATCCTATTCTACTACTCCAGGGTAGGAATAAAATAGCAAACCTAAAGTTCTGATTGTGTCCATAGAATCTTCCTAGACAGCAGGATGTACAAGCACTTGGTCCAATCAAAAAAAAAAGTGCGGCACATCAGCAAAAAGTGATTAGAAACAAATAACAAGTCATTCCCATCTCTTCAGAGAAATATCCTGCCAGAGGAATCCCTGAAAGAGGCTTTAAATATATTTCATGGTTGTCCAGCAGAACAGTAGAGTTGTGAACTGAAAATACATTCCAGTATGCTATCTTCTTTTCTCCTTCCACAATTTAAATCCCACCAGAGTACAGACTATTCCACACTCCAGCATTTCTAACATAGTTTATCAAATGAACTTTTGAATGCAGCCTCTCAGAGATACCAGCCTGGTGTTAATGAGAGCCCATTAAGATAAAGAAGAGCAGTGCTGGGTGGGACAGGAGGTGTGAAATACTTCAAGCCACATAAATTCCCCGCTATCACAGGTGGAGTTATTTCTCCCCATAGGGATACCAGTTTGCCACAGGCTTTACAGAAGTCAGGAGAGAATACGACACTCAGGCGGAGGGGTTAACTGCTGGTGTGGTCAGACCTGTTCCCGCAGCCTAGCCATGATGATGGTCAGACCTGTTGAGAGGATGTGACAGCCCTAGTACACTTACATCTTACTATTGTAAGCAATTAGAATTGCTTAAAATGGGACTTAACTACAATATTTAGTAAAGGATTAAGTTTTTTTACAGATTCGCAGAAGCTTCTCCGAAGCATATCACCTCTACAGTAATCCAAACCAGTAACCTCAGTGTTTCCTAGACTACTCAAACTGCCTTCCCTTTTACTGCATCTGTTGGTTTTCCTCCCTTTACCTTGTGGGATATCATGCTCCAGAGAATCCAGAAAGTCAGTGGATGGGTCCAGGTTAGCCTTTTCCAGCAGGGTTTTATTCTTCAGGTTAACAGGCTCAGTGAAATGGAAATAGGAACTTAACTTTTTTGCCTCCACCAAAGACAGACCTGCAAAGAGCCATTGGTGACCATTAATACAGTGAACTAGGGTAACATTCATTATACCGTCAAGTATAACATTGTTTCTCTAATTCCCACAGCATAGGGCAGAATCATAATCTTTCTCCGGTAGACTCTGCAGAAGACTACAGTCTTCTCAGAAAGAGATGTCAGCACTCCCTGATGTTGTGCATTGCAGACCATACTGACTGTTGTCCAGATAAGCAATGGACACCAAATTGCTAAATGCTGACATAAACTACAGTTTATAAAGACATATGAAACTACAGGTTTAAAGACTCAGAGCCATTACTGATTTTTCTCTCCCCATCCATAGTTGAATCATGCACCTGAACATAAGTGGCACTGGATTCTCTCCTCCCTGTTCATCTTACCCAAGGAAAAAAAAAACTGAAATCAAAACATCAGCCAGAGAAAGTCGTCTTAATTTACAGCTTTCGTGATCAAAGTACAGTTGATACTGATAAAGGCAATGAGAATTTACCTTCAAAGTGTCTGTTTTCATGCACAGACCCAAGAGGAGTCTTCACGAATGCCCCCCGGGGGACGATACCAACTGCTCTGTCTATCTGTTCTATCGTAGCTATGAGGCGGGCCTCCTCCTTGATCACGGGCTTTAACGAAAAATAGGGAAATTTTAAAGGCAGGAATTTCCTTGTTTTCGTTTCTGAAAATAAACTGGAGGTGACAGTAGAAACCACAATGGACTCATCAACTTGAAGCCCAATGGCACTAAGAGGAGAACCACAAATCACATGTTTTTTCTCATAAGATATGACAGAAAATTTGACTGGGGCAGAGAGTTTAGATTCACCAGAGAGATAACTATCCCTCTCTTGATCCATTCTTTCCTCCCTCTCGATTAAGCAACTTACGACTTCTCTATTCATTTATAAAGAATGGTGCCTGCAGTTACTTGCTTCAGAAACTGAAGTGGGAATCTGTACCAATTGTGCATAATAAAGCATAAGAAATATATACTCTTTCTGAGCCCCGTGTAACTCCGGAAATAACTGAAGGTCAATCAAGAAGTTGTTGCTACACAATGACAAAGAGGAAATTGTGTATCTTCTGCCTGACTACAGGCTCGGGCTGCTAATTACAACAAGGAGGAGGAGCCACCACCTGTCCAGTGCGAGTGGCACGACTGTAGACAAGAGAGTTCGAAAGTGTTTTGCTGTATTTACCTCCTTACCACCTTCAAACAATGTCTCAGCAGCTTGTGGGTTTATCTCAGCGAAGTTGTACTCAAAAGAAGGATCACCCTGAAAGCGGCCCTTCAGCTGCTCGGCCTGCGCAACCATCTCCTTGGTCGCCGGTGTCAGGAGGCTCCAATCCAAGCAGTTCAAGCTGCCAACGACAAGCAGGACGTAGGGCCGAGCCCGTTAAAGAACAGGCCCCTCAGGGCACGGAAAGGCTCCCTCCAGGAGATCCGGACAGCACCCCTCGATTCCCTTATCTCCCCGCCGCCCCAAACCGGACCCCCGGCCCCAGCTGCCCAGGGCGGCCCCCGCACCTGTAGAGGCGGATGCGGGGCGCGGCGCGGTCGGGGCGCAGCCCCTCGGCGATGTAGTAGGAGCCGCGCACGCCCTGGATGCAGCCCCAGAACCAGACCCGCTCGAAGCGGTAGTTGTGCTGCAGCAGCGTCAGCGATACCCCCAGCGCCGCCCGCTTCTCCGGGCTGAGCCCCGCGCCGCCGCCCGCCACCAGCGCCAGGGCCGCGGGCAGCGACTGCGCCTCCATCGCCGCCCCGTTGCCGGGCGACCGCCGCCCGCCCCGGGTCGCGGCGAGGAGGCCGAGCGCCGGCTGCGGGTCACGCCGGGCCTCCGCCAACGAGGAGAAAGCAGGCAGCGCCCTGGGAGCCTGCGGGCAGCTGCCTGTGCCGGCCCCGTGCACAGCTAACCCCGCCCGGCAGCCAGAGATGCTGCTGAGCACAATAAGGACGCAGCTAGGGATGGCAGGCTGCACACGTGTTCCTCAGTTTCAAGAGGCCTAAACCCAAAGCAGAGTCCAAAAAGCAGGAGGGCATACAATTGCATTGCACCTTCACTAGGATACCATATTTTCCTCATTTCTTACATGAACAACAGGAAAAAAAAAACAACCAAAAAAAACCCAAAAACAAACAAAAAACCAACAACAACAAAAAATACAAACAAAACAAAACAAAAACTCATGAAGTTCACTGCTTACAGTGTCATTCTTACAGATCCAGAGGAGGGCTAGGAAGTTGATAAGAGGACTGCAGCACCTTCCTGGCGAAGACAGGGGCTGTTCAGCCAGGAGAAGAGAAGGTTGCCTGGAGACCTCGTAGCAACCTTCCAGTATTTCAATGGGGTCTATGGGGCAGCCAGAGAAGGACTCTTCATCAGGAACTGCAGTGACATGACAAGGAGTAATGGGTACAAAGTGAAAGAGGGGAAATTTCGGTTAGATAGTAGGAGGACATTTTTTACTGTGAGGGTGGTGAGACACTGGAACAGGTTGCCCAGGGAAGTTGTGGATGCCCCAAACCTGGCAGTGTTCAAAGCCAGGTTGGATAAGGCCTTGAGCAACCTGATCTAGTGGGAGGTGTCCCTGCTCATGGCAAGGGGAGTTGGGACTAGATGATCTTTAAGGTCCATTCCAATCTCTTAACATTCTATGATTCTATGATCTTACCTAACTTATATACATCTATAAATAAATAACTTATTTATAAATGACTGCATTTGGATTGCTCCTTGGCAGCTCCTTTTGCTGAATCACATTCAGACAGACATCCAGGAAACAGCTCCTGCCCTAAAAATCTTGCAGTCTGGCTTAACAAAAAATGCAATAAATAAGTAATGAAATTGTGCAGCTGCTTAGAGAAATAGAATTTCTATTTGACGTCTTCAGGAAGTTTAAGCTTTTATATGTGCGCATTATATAAACGAATATGTGCATGCACTTACATTTAAATCCATTGTCAAGTCATAAGTTCTTTCTTTTTCATCCGTTTCCTGTTAACTTCTAAGGAAAACACTGATCCTGGGACCACGGCCTGTAACAGTTGTCACCTGGGATTTTTTGTCAAGTGAGATGTTTAATGAGCTTTACAGCACACAATCCAACCCATTAGCTTTACTTATGCCGCAGAAAAGGCAACTCAGGTTCCTGGAGGTTAACCACCTCTCTTTGACATGAATCAGGCAGAACATGCAGGAGTGACCACAGACTTTTGCTCCATGCTGTCACCTACCTATTCCATACTGTGATTTGCTCAATGGAATAGGAATTTTCAGGCTTTGTAGACTCATTAATCACTGATTCTCTAGAACTGTGTGTTAATATTTTGTGTTAGGGCTATGATCTGACCAATAACAGCAGAACTGCAGGCCAAACTCATTTCACATGAGTCAGAGAGGCAACCCAAGAGTATAATGAATTTCTGCCTCTGTCAGCCACAGCTGGATTCAAACCAGATGCTAACAGCTGAGAGGCTCTTTAGCCTGTTATGGATCTTCTAAGCCACCCAGTCTAGTCTTTGCCTGTCCTGACTGAAGATTATCAAAAAGGAGATCTATAGCTTAAGGAAATTCTTCCTAGTTCGGTAAAGTATGGTGGGTAACTGTACTCTGCTTTCCTTTGTCTTGACCCCAATTACTAAACACCGATAAGGATCGAGAAGTAAGTGGTTGCATTATTTAACAAATGAAAGGTCAAAAGCGCTGCTATTGAGTAAGGTCAAAGGTTACCATCACTGTTATTAAACAGTTTGAAAGCAGTTTCTCCCATTCCTCGCCATCCCAGGCTCAAACAAGGAGCTGCTCAGCAATCGGGCAGCCAGGAGGGAAGAGAGGCACCAGGCATCATTCAGCCAGCTGCTGGCTAGGTGGCTTTTCTTGAACACCTGCTTTCAGTGAGGGAAGGAGTCACAGCCCAGCAGCTCCCATCAGAGGACTGAGCTCTCCTGCCTCTGCACAGAACACGCACATACCTGTGTGCCAAACAGCTTCAGCTCCTCCCAGCTCTGTCCTTTAGAGCTGGCATCCTTTTGGGTGAGAAATCAAACTTGAGTTCCCTTCCTCTCATCTCAGGCAAGGTACAGAACATCAGAGCAGCATCAGAGTTAAACTACTTGTTTAAGTAAGTTGCTGCTGTGTGCACAGTGACTCCTGTATGTTTGCACAACTTCACAAAACATTTGAAAATACTTTTAGTGATGTAGTAGGAAGTGAGTTCATCTTCCTTCATGTTCTTCGGTATACCTTATCTCAAAAGAAAGAAAAATAGCTACCTTTCCATGTCACTTCAATTTCTGCTGGTACAGATTAAGAAGGCTGTTCTCAAAATACTCTTGCAGGACAACTATTGCGCTGTTCCGGGTTTCCGTTGGGCTGACCCTGATCACAAGTTATACTTCTATCCATCATCCACTTTTTCATGTTGTTGGGATAATCTGCAGCTGGTTCTGGTGCAGCAAAATATAGATAGGGGTCATTCCTTCCAGGTATGTTGAATATAAAGTCTGATTTTCCTACAAATTATCTCAAAAATTCAGACTGTCTCTGGCTTCAGAAACATTGCAGCTTTGAATCATTTCCTTGCATGTAAGTCATTACTGTATAAGGATAGTAAAAGATAGTAAACAAGAGAGAAAAGTACAGAGTTTTTCTGAATAAGGAAGGAGCGAAAGATGGCTGCTTGTCAGGAGGGGAGGAGTCTGTGGAAGACAAACAGCTGAACAAACTTCAAGAACTGCAAAGTGAAGCCTTGAGCTATGCTGAGCAAAAAGTGAGGAACTAGAGCCAAGTAACGGTTTAACAGCAACAGAAGGGATCAGGGATGTCCCTATATGATATAGTACAGACACTTTCCTCTCTCTTGGAAATTGTACTAAATATGGAAAAACTTTGGGAATACTTTGACTGCAAACTGTTCAAAGGAAAAGGATGTGGGTCTTTTGGCTTCCCCAGGATCAATGCCATTTTCTCCATTAGTGAGACCTGAGTTAGCTGTGTGCAGTCATGGGGAGACTCGGAGAAGAAGGGGTGAAAGTGCAGCATGTACCATGAGCTGGACTCCTCCACTTCTGGAATTCAGTCTGGAGTAGCACTCTGGGTAACAAGTCAGCAAGAAATTAGGCAAGTAGGTCAGGATGGGAGCAGCTGTGCTAAAATATAGAGGAAATCTGCAGGATGACTGTGACAAGCCTTCCCTAGAGATTCTCTTTGGCATAATCCTGGGCAGGCAATATGCCCAAAAAAAGTATTTCTCCTACCCAACTCAGGAAGAGACAGGCACAAGAGCCAAAGAGCTTTGTCATTTTGTGACATGAAGTTTTCTATGTCTTTAAGGTCTGTTTCATGCCTTTCATCACTTCCCTAATAGCAGCTGTCATCTTGACTGCTCTTGGTGCAGCGGGCAGGTAAAGAGTCTACTGGGGTAAGAAGTACCAATGTGCAGGGTTATATCATCTTGCCTGGGCATCACATGAGTAGCTGTGATTCTTCTAGCTGGCAGCTGAACACGCATGTCTTGGTTGTTTTTCAGGTACCCAGAGGGGTGTGGTGCAGCATTCTGACCTTGCACACACGATGCTACCAGTCAGAGTGCCTGGGAAAGACAAAACAGAACAGTGAGAAACTGCTACGTCAGTGTAGTTCTGGCTGTGACTAGGCTTCAAGAGAATTTAATGCATTAGTGTAGGTGTTATCCACATTTCAGGCTACTCGTTGTCCTAGCGTATTTGAACTAGGATTTAATAGAACAAATAACTAATACAGGGTTTTTCAAACATCCTACAAGGATAGGATAGGCACTGTATGAAAGATTGCTGAATTGTTTTGGTGATTCCTTGGAAGCAGCTTGCTGACGACAATCCCTGGTCTTGATGAGTTCAATTTTTAGGACTGACACTCATCCTATCTCTGCAAGCTGCAGATGCTACAACAAAATGGTGGAAAAGCATGTGTTATAGTACAGGAACCTGAATGATTTAGGCTTTTCAGAGCCATGACGAAGACCACATATCACAGAGAGGAATGAATCAGAAGCCATCAAGTAATCACAGTCTTGGTGTAACAAAGTTTAATCAACTTGTCCTTGGAAAAGAGCTCAGCAAGTCTGAAGCTTTCAGGTGGCTCCAGGCAGAAGCTTTCTAAAGCATTTAAGCAAAGGAGCAACAGGGACCTGGGTGATGCCTGATGCATGTGGCAAACTTAGGATCGCATGAGAGTTTCTGGCCTACCACTGAAGAGCCTGGAGTTGAAGTGAGGAAATGGATCCAGGGATGATCTGGGATGAGAACAATGGACGGGGCAAATCTCTTTAACTAAAGATGATATTTTCAGAAAATATCTTCCTTGTAGTAAGCCTTGTTTTTATCTAGGCAGAGCTTATTCTGTTGGAGATAACTGCTTGTCTCTCTTTGCCAGATAGTCAGAGGCCACTGGCCTTTTCTCATGTCACTTTCTATAGTGATTGTTATTTTCAACATTTTTTTCTCTCAGGAAAATACTTACCAGTGTGACATTTCTGCCCAGTCTCAGGCACCTGCTTAGGTCTACTAACCTTTAAAAATATGTAGGAATCAGAGACCAACTGACGTGGGGTGCATGGTTTCAGATAACTGTGTCCTCCAAGCATCCAACATCCAGAGAGGTGTGTGCATCCCCATCTTTGGGGCACTGACTCTTGTCAGCAAAGCTCAGCCATCCACTTAACAAGCCTTTTGCCTTTGTATGGATTCACTCACCCACCTGCTGCTGAATTACTTTGTTTTAAAAACCCAGGTGGTTTATGCTGAC